ACTAGAGACAAAGAAGTTCTTATCCTTAAAGTTTGATATGAAGGATCTCGGTGAAGCTTCATTCGTCCTAGGAATAGAGATTCACCGAGATAGAGAAAAGGGGGTTTTAGGATTATCACAAAAGGCATACTTAGAAAAGATTCTAAAGAAATACAGTATGCAAAATTGTAAGTCTTCACCTGCTCCCATAGTAAAGGGCAACATATATGGAGAATTTCAATGTCCCAGGAACCAATATGAGATCGGTCAAATGAAAGCTGTTTCATATAGTTCAGCTGTCGGATGTTTATAATATGCTCAAGTGTGTACTCGTCTTGACTTAGCATTTGTTACCGGGTTACTTGGCAGATATCAGAGTAATCCAGGAATAGAACATTGAAAATTAGTAAAGAAAGTTTTGCGTTACCTACAAGGTACGAAGGGTCTCATGCTAACGTATAGAAGATCTGATTCCCTACCCATAGAGGGGTATACAGATTCTGATTATGCGGGAGATGACAAAAAATCCACGTCAGGATACATATTCACTGTCGTAGGAGGAGCTATATCGTGGAAAAGCTCAAAGCAAACCGTCACTACACTATCCACAATGTATGTCAAGTTTGTAGCATGTTATGAGGCCACAGAGCAGGTGAATTGGCTGAAGAAATTCATGCCCGAATTGAAAGTGGTAGACGACATACATAAACCACTCAAGTTATACTGCGATAATAATCCAGCAGTATGTTATGCTCACAATAATAAGTCAAGTGGTGCTGCCAAACACATTGACATAAAGTATTATGTTGTGAAAGACAAAGTCCGGAATCATATAATTAGTCTTGAGCATATAAGAACAGAAAAAATACTCGCGGATCCACTTACAAAAGGCTTACCACCCAGCGTGTTCACAGAACACTTAGCCGGCATGGGTTTAAGGGAAAGCCTATGATTTCTGAACAATAAGGTCCTAGTTGAGAATCTGTTTCAAAACAGAGAGGTGCATTGTAGCTGTTTAATCTAATGGTAACTGACCGTGACGATAAAGCATGCTCTATGCACTAATCTGTGATGGAATGGGAACAAGATAAAGTAAGTTGAGTTTAAGTCATAAGGTGAGATCAAGGGGGAGAATGTTATATGATCTCCATCCAATTGGCAAACGGCCATTTGGGCTCTTGCATCCGCGCCTTGATCAGGGGCGCCCAGCCATTTCATGGTTGGTGGGCCCCCGTCACTCTGCGCTATATAGAGAGGTGGAGGCCGGCGACTCTTTTCACGAGGTTGATCGAACTACAGTTTCCACCGACAAAACCCTAACACCGATCTAGAGAGGATGCGCAGCCAGTGACGGGAAAAGCACCACCACGAGGTTCACCGCCGCCACTGGACCGCACCTATGACCGCTACATCACCCGACGCCCTCCGACAACATTACCGACGTGATAGATAGCTCCAACAGCTTCACCAAACCCTTCGACGGTTAGAGACCACTGCCCTCTCTCTTTTCTCCACCTAAATCTCGTAGTTCATGTTTTATGGTTTGTTTATCATGTTCCAGTCATGTTGTACACGTATGCCTGGTTCATCCTACGGTTTGTATCACAAACCGCTGCCAAGAAAGCTGTCCACCTGCTGGACGACAGCAGCTGATCTCCTAGTCAACCGGTGTGATTGGAGTGGCACGAGCTGATGAGCCATCGCAGCAGCAGCAGCAGCAGCAGCCTCCCAGTGCGATCGTGCCAAGCATCCACGCCCGGCTCTCGTCCGAGTCAAACAAGGACCGGCTCCCCATGCATGCATGGAGAGCCTGCCTGCCTGCCTGCCTAGGCATCATGGCGGCCGATCTGAGGTGTGATGATCATGAGCGCGCCTACTCCTAGGTCGGTAGCTGGCGGCGTAGGAGTAGCGCGTACGACACCTTGGCCCTTAGCCGGATCATCATGCCGGCGCCGACCGCCGACGCTAGGCTGCTAGCGGAAGCAGAGGCTAAGGCCCGGCGCGGCGCAGCAGCGGCAGCGTGTCGTCAGCATGTGCCTGTGGCGGCGATCAGTGGCTCTGGCTGGTGTGGTGGTCTGCTCGTGGAGCCGAGCGAGCGCTATGTCTGCGGTGCCTATGATCTTGCGCTAGGCGCTGGTGCAATTGCCGCTCTGCTCCTCGTAGATGGGATGAGAGGGCGACAGAAGGAGCGGTGCTGGGCTCGGGCTGAGCCCGCAGCCGCCGAGGGAATAGAAGCGTAGCAGTAGTAGGGATGCAGTGGCAGTCGTGCAGGTGCAGGATGCAGACGTGCACAAGCACTGAAGCACAACGCTCGGCCGCTCCGCTCGCCCTGCTCAGCTCATCATGCCTTCCCTGACACAGGGCTCCGGTCGTGCGTGGCGCTGCGACAGTGGCCTAGGAGGAGGCTATTTGCTAGGCTCTGGGCTCTGGCACGAGGGAATCGCAGCTAGTGCATGTGTCGCATGCGTGACATTTATGAGTGGCTGCCGGCACGGGTCCGTCCGAATGCGCGCGGAATCTCCTTTGAGCCGAGCGTGTGCACGCGCGCGCCCTGATGCGGACGTCGGGCCAGGCCGGTCCTCGGCCTCGGCCCTAAAATTCTCACAGGGCTGGGTGTCCAATGATTTCGCATCCGTGCGTCCCGCCACCGTTCGCGCTGGGGCGCATCAAATCCCACACGAGCGACGCGTCTCGCTCGCGTTGGCTACGGTCGATCTATGCGTCTCACGGCGACTTGTCCTGAGAAACCCTGCCGTGGAGTCGGACACGCATGATGCGTCCGACGAAAACAAGCAAAAAGCGTCGTTGTTGGTACGGAATTAATTGTGCGACGGGCTCGCCCGGACCCCGCATGGTTGGCTTCAGCCGCGGATGATGGCGCGTTTTGAACGGTGCTGCGTGCCCGCGCGAGCAACGCCGCAGCGTGCCACGACGGCCGCCCGGAGTCTACCTGATTCTCGTGACCGGAATACCGGATCAGTCGACAAGGGGGCGGCGACGGACGGAGGGGGACAAAACTCAAAAGGGAGCGCCCCCGGGGATCTCCATCGCTCGCACGGACGGGACCGGGCATCCAGGGATCGCTTTAGCTAATCGATGCGTTTTGCTTGCAGCCGCGCAACTAGCGCCGGCCTGTTCGTTTGAACTTATCGTCTAGAATGTACAATATTTTCTTTAATAACAAAACAGCTTCAGCCGGTCAGCCGGCTTTAATACCAACCGAACATGTGTTTCACAGCTTTATTTCAGGCTTTTCCGTTCGGCCTGCCGAGCGCATCGCAAGAAAAGACTGCATGCTTTTTACAGAGAAAGAAGATCAGACGGAGTGATGGAGAGGAGACCAAAAACATCGTAGCATGGCATTTTTAATGTGGACAGGGAAAAAGGGTCTTGACTCTTGAGGGTTCTTATATAAAAGAAATAAATATATTTCTAGCTCCCTACCAAATCAATCTATCTCAAATTTAACTAAACAATCTAGAATAACCGTACATCTCTTTTCTTAAGTCAAACTTTTAATTTTTTAATAGATTTATAGAAAACTTTAGCAACATTTATATTTCCTAATATGTTTATTATCACAAATATATATGCCATTATTAATATAATAATACTTATTACACATTACAAATATTAAAAAATTATGTATTTTTTGTCAGTTTTTTTAAATTAACTCCTTAAAAAAACAAGATGTTGTTTTAGAACAGGACAAGTATATACAAAAATGATAACATTATCTAGAGTAGGGCACCAACGCACACCCTACCACACATACCTAGTCCGGACCACGTTCTACTGACGCTTCTACGTGGTTGGACGATCAATATCGACTAATTATAATAGATAACGGTAGCTTCTACTATCAAATAAGCACCAAAATGAGTTCATCAAGATTCAAACGATTTCAAGTTAGACACTATAAGATAGAGCATGAGTTTAGAAAAAAAGAAACTAGTTTCACAATTTTCCAAGGTAAAACAAATTTTCAATGATTTATTAAGATTAAGCCAAAATTTAGTATTTTAATTGCATTATTTTCCATGTAAAATTTTTTAGATATTTATTTTTTAAAATTTGTTTCATGAATTTTTGGATATTTTTAAAAATATTTCTACTCTGATTTACTCCCTCGACTTTCAACTTAGCACGATTTATCCTTCTAACGTGATGCCACACCAGCAAAACCACCATCAAAATCATCTAATGTGCAAAAATAAATGATTTTAAAAGTGGAGAGAGATAAAAAAAACTGGTTTTGTAGTTCAGGAAGGAAAATCGAATGACCCCGATAATTGAGGAAGGTAAATTAGACTTTATTTTTTTTCTGAATTTTCCAAGGAGGTAGTCTGGATTCTGGAAGCAGAGCCCAGTACCATTTTTACGTGGGGAAAAGCACAGTACTAGATCCATGGAAATTCACAGCCCATTATAACCCAATGACAACCTCATCTTGCGGCCCAACCCATACGTAGTATACATGTTACCAACACAGACCACTGACTCCACTAGTCTCGCAGCACCACAGACACAGATCCTTCCACACTGGCTGCACGCCTGCACTGCACCTCTGCTCGACTGCTCAGGCGTGTTCTGCAGCCTCTGCTCGACTGCTCCGCACCGGCACCGCGTTGCAACTTTTGCAAATGCTTCAAGCGAGCATCTGAGTTCTGAGGTGGATCGGAGAAGACGTCCACTCCCAAGTCCAAGCGATGGGATGCCGTGCAGAGCTCAACGCCGCACCCTGCCGGTCTCTGCACCACCGCACGTCCGCAACGCTTCAAGCGAAAGCCTGCGCGACAGCAGCACGGACCGCGCGTCACATCCCGCCATTCCCATTCCTTGACGCCATCAAACGCGCCCGCCCAGCCCAATGCGCCGGCAACACCATTGCCTGCCGCCCCACTGCTCTACATGCCTATATGGACACATGCATGGTCCATGCACATGCTCGACGATCAACGTCTCAGGTTGCCGGAACTTGTCCGTTGATAAAGAAGATGCGCACGACAAGTTACATTCTCATGGTCGCCCAAGCTCTCGTCGTCGTCTCCGCGTTGCTGGCCGCCGCCGTCGCCGTCGCCGCCGCAGAGTATGTCCGGCCGCCGCCAGGGCGGATCATCCTCACGGAGCACACCGAGCCCGCCGACCATCCTCAGCAGGTACATACTACATCTTCCTATTCACTACTGACGCCGGTGTGCTGTTATGCGCCTGATTAAGATGACCGCCGACGCGATCTCTGCAGGCCCATGTATCGGCCGTCGGGGAGAGGCACGTGAGGGTGTCGTGGGTCACCGACGACAAGCACGCGCAGTCCGTGGTGGAGTACGGCAAGGCCTCCCGGAACTACACCATGTCGGCCACCGGCGACCACACATCGTACCGCTACTTCCTCTACTCCTCCGGCAAGATCCACCACGTCACCATCGGCCCGCTGGAGCCCAGCACCGTGTACTACTACCGGTGCGGCGAGGCCGGAAGAGAGTTCAGCCTCAGGACCCCGCCGGCCGCGCTGCCTATCGAGCTCGCCCTCGTCGGTACGTAGCCACGCAGGGACTGGGAAGAATCCAACCCGCAGGCGCTGACTGTCGATCGGACGGACGGCTGACAATGGTGTAGGCGACCTGGGGCAGACCGAATGGACGGCGTCGACGCTGGCGCACGCCAGCAAGACGGACTACGACATGCTGCTGGTGCCGGGCGACCTGTCGTACGCCGACACGCAGCAGCCTCTGTGGGACTCGTTCGGGCGGTTCGTGCAGCGGCACGCGTGCCGGCGGCCGTGGATGGTCACGCAGGGCAACCACGAGGTGGAGGCGCCGCCCCTGCACCCCGTCCCGGCCTCGCCGCCCCCGTTCGCCGCCTACGGCGCGCGGTGGCGGATGCCGCACGAGGAGAGCGGGTCGCCGTCCAACCTCTACTACTCCTTCGACGCGGCGGGGCGCGCCGTGCACGTCGTGATGCTGGGCTCGTACGCGCCCTTCGACGCCAGCTCGGACCAGTACCGGTGGCTGGCGAGGGACCTCGCTGCCGTGGACCGCCGCGCCACGCCCTGGCTCGTGGTGCTGCTGCACGCGCCCTGGTACAACACCAACGCCGCGCATCAGGGCGAGGGCGAGGCCATGAGGAAGGCCATGGAGCGGCTGCTCTTCGAGGCGCGCGTCGACGTCGTCTTCGCTGGCCACGTTCATGCCTATGAACGCTTCGTGAGTGTCTCTTTGTTCCCATCAGTTCATGGCGAATCTATTGGCTGTCCGATGACACGTACTCGTTCCAATTCGCATTGCTGTCGTCGCAGACAAGGGTGTATGACAACGAGGCGAACCCGTGTACATCACCATAGGCGACGGCGGCAACAGAGAAGGCCTTGCCTTGAAGTGAGTATCAATGCTAGTCGCCATGCCCAGCCCTGATATTTTTTCGCAAACCGCATTGTTTCATTTCGCATTGCTTGACTGATCACTCGTCTGGCCGTGTTGATTTGTTAGCTTTGAGAAGAACCACAGGCTGGCGCCATTGTCGATGATGAGGGAAGCGAGCTTCGGGCACGGGCGGCTGAGGGTGGTCAACGCGACCTCGGCGCACTGGTCGTGGCACCGCAACGACGACGCGGACTCCGTGGTTCGCGACGAGCTCTGGCTGGAGAACCTGGCCGCCAATGCCTCGTGCCGGCAGCGGCAGCACGACGAGCCCACCGCCGTCAATTCACGGGACGATGAGTTGTAGCGGGGTCATCTCATGTTTTTGCCCAAAAGATGTAAATTTGCGGCGCGTTACAATTCCACGTCGTGTAGTGCATGTCTCTCAAAGTATACTTTCGTCACACACTCACACTATTCATCAACACATAGACGGTTCGTAACTTTTATTAAGAAGAAACATCTTACTACCAAATATGTCAAAACATCTAGCATGCACAAAACAATAAACGCATTTTAAAACTTTTTTGTCAGGCAATAATGTTTATTTATATTATTTAAAATAATGTTTTAAAAATTATCAGCCTATTCGGGAGGCCGTATCGTATCGTGGATTATTTACTACTGGCTGGTTTGGTGTGAGAGAAAAACACTGTTCCCGGATGAAAATTTAAGATCATTTACGAGCAAGCGAACATGCTGTATATATAGGATAACCTATAGCCCAAACTTATTTTGGCCCCAAATTTCTTCCTTCAGCCTGGTCCTATGCAACCCAACGATTTAAATTAAAAGAAAACAACAAATAATTTCGCAAATTGGGCCCTGGGGAGCATTCGGTCTGACCCAGCAATACATGTGCGAGGACCTTAGATACGAAAACAAAGATGTTGACACTCAAGTGTATAGAGTGCATAACAGACTCCATCGTGTTTCTATCGTCAAGACGACCAGAAAACATACTTGGATCATCGTACGTTTCCCAATTTTCTCAAATCCAAGAGCGGACAGCACCATTGCGTTTTTGTCGTCGACCTGATAAAAAAAACATATATAGATCACCTCGTTTGGAGTCCGGATGAATTAACTATGCATTTCAAAAATATTTGGCCTAGAGCCCGCACAAGTCGGCTTAGTCGACTTTGTTAGGCAGTGGCGGAGCCAGCCGAAAAATGAGGCAGGGAGGACTGCTATATACATATGCAGAACTTCACCGATATGTCAGTTTAACTATGTATGTATACCACTATACCGTATATATATCGGTGTATGACGTAACATTATATTCTAATATGCAATTCAACAAACAAAATGGTACGGTAGAAGTTTGAACACGATTACCTTTCACATGAAAAGGACATAAGCAGAATTTTTGTTCCATAGGGCAGATAATTAACCATGTCCATACATCAAATGATCAAAAAAGCATAAACAACCTGCAATTAAAATAAATTTAGTAATTGCTTTCACGAATCAGGTTGAACAACTAATTTAATTGCTATAAAATAAATTTAGTAATTGCTTTCATTAATCAGGTTGAACAACTAGTTTCTTATACTGCTTCTGGGTCAATGGAGTTGGAGCTGCCAGCCTACTTGTGCATCTGTAAGACCCATCTTCGGCTTCATCTCCTCGCCCCCCATCCATCAGCACCAACAGTCCGGCCTCCAGGCCGGCCGGCGGCCGCTCGGCGGCTTGGGCGCAGCCTGCATGCGGTGGGGCGGTCGGCGGAGCCGCGGAGGCAGAGGCTGGCGGCGCGGTGGCTTGGAGTGGAGGCGCCGAGGGCCGGAGGCGGAGCGTGGAGGACCGGAGGCCGGAGGGAGCGGCGCAAGCGTGCTGCGTGGTCGCGCGGAGGCGGAGGCGCTGTCGAAGTGTCGAGCCTACTTGCCCTGTTGAAAGGCCTAGTTTGGTTTTGTATAATTGATGAAACCTAGAGACTAATTCTTGTACTAAGTGTGTAGACATGAAAGGATGGTTCTATGCCAAGTGGTGGAGCTAGATGATGGTCATGGTGATGATAAAGACCAAACTTGAAGATCAAGTGCTTTAACTTGGAAAAGAAGAAAGAAAAATAAAAACCAAGAAGATCAAGGCAAAGGTATCAATTAGGTTTTTGTTTTTAGCACTCAAGACACCATAGATGGTGTGAGTGTATTTAGGATTGATAGACGTACTATGAAGAGGGGAATTCTTTGGCTAAGCAGTTTATCGAGTGCCACTAGGTGACATGATTCTTACATATGCATTAGGGACCTAGTGTGCTAACATTTAACCCTTGAAAAATACTTGAAAAAATGCTAACACACGGGCACACAAGTTACACACTTTGTGGTTAGCAACTTGAAAGCAAGGGTGAAGTGGTTGCGAAGTTAAAAAAGAAAAGGAGAAGATGGACAGTAATCGGACGCAGGGGGCCTGCGCGTCCGGTGCTAAATCCTAGCTGCCAGTGAGCTTCACAGCACTAACCGGACGCTGCACCGGACATAGGGCATGTGTCCGATCAGTGGTTCCAGAGGAGGCGACGCTCGACCTTGTGATCAGATACTTGGGAAGGGTCGTGACCGGACACGCAGGGGGTGCGTCAGGTCGTCGCTGACGTACGCTGGCATCATTGCCCTGTGCGAGGCTTGTACTGATCGAACTCTGGGGCGCGTCTGGTCCCTGGTGACCTAACACATCTGGTCCTTAAAAATGGCTCTGTGTGTTTTCTGTTGTTGATCGGACTCTGCGTGGCCAGAGTTAGGTTAAATCTAACAGCACGTCCGGTCATCACTTAGCCATTGGCGCTAAGTCATTTGACCATTGAGATCGAGCGGCTCTAGTTCAAAGAGATGACACGTGGTGCCATCGGACGACCGTACGCTGGCGACCAGACGCTGAGCTACGCCCGGTCGGTGCGTTCGATCAGCCCTGCACAGAGCAACGGCTCTATTTGTTTGAGGGGGGGGGGTATATAAATAGACCATGGCCGGCTTGGGGCTCACCCTCTTAGTACTTTGACATTATTGACATCCTTGTGAGCCTAAACAAACACCTCCCACTCATCTCCATCATTGATTCATCATCATTGTGAGATTGGGAGTGATTCCTAGTGTATTTGCTTGAGTGATTGCATCTAGTGGCACTTGGGGGTCGTTGTGGCCGCGGAGTTCTTGTTACTCCTGGTGTTTGCCGCCACCTAGATGGCTTGGAGCAGTGGAGGAGCATCGTCATGAGTTGGTGATTGTTCATGGCCGTCTTCGGTGATTATGAGGGGGTCTTATACCTTCCCGGTGGAGCGCCAAAAGGTAACTCTAGTGGATTGCTCGTGTCATTGAGTTACCTCACTTGTGGGTAGGTTCTTGCGATGCCTAAGTGTTGGGCTAGGTTTGTGAAACACCTATTAGCCGCCGAACCACCAAGTGCTGGTCGACACAACGGAGACTAGCGTGCCAGCAAGCACGTGAACCTCAGAAGAAAAATTCTTGTGTCATCTTGTGATTGGAATTCTCCTGATGATTGATTGGCTTTATATTATGATTGGTTCATTCCTCGACACGGCGGTATAATCATCCTACTCACTCCCTTACATTCCTTGCAAACTAGTTGTCATTTAGGTATCTAACCTTGTGCTCTAGTGTTTTTAGAGATTTTTATAGGCTATTCACCCCCCTCTAGCCATTTAGGATCTTTCAAGTGGTATCGAGCCATGGTCACTATTTGATTGAAGGCTTAACAACCTCGGTGTCAAAATATGGCTCAAGTTGTGTTCAACCACATGGGGGCAAACCACCGTTCTTTGATGGTACAAGCTATGACTATTGGAAGAGAAAGATGAAGATATATCTTGGTTCAATCAATGATCAAGTGTGGGATGTGACCGAGAGTGATTATGTGATTCTTGATCCCACCAATCTCACCAACCAAGACAAGACCAACAAGCAATGCAACACAATGGCTCTCAACACCATCTACAATGTCATTGATTCAAAGGTGTTTGAACAAATCAAGGATCTTGATAGAGCTAGTGAGGTGTGGAAGAGATTAGAAGAGACCTATGAGGGAACGGTGGCGGTCCAAAGTGCCAAGCTATACATCCTCAAGGACAAGTTGACAAGCTTCAAGATGAAGGATGATGAGAGCATCCCGAAGATGTTTCATAGGCTCCAAGTGATTGTGAATGATTTGAAGGCTTTAGGAGAGAAGATAAATAATGATGATATCTCCCATCAGTTCTTGATGCGCTTACCTCCAAGATTTGAGATTTTGAGAATGCTCATCATAAGAGGAGGATTAAAGGAGCTTACCCCTAACCAAGTACTAGGTGATGTCATGGCACAAGAGACATACCGTGTGGAAAGGGAATGTGCTGACAAGGATGAGAAGAAAGAAGATGAAGACAAGAAGAAGAAAAGTGTGGCATTCAAGGCTAACACCTCATCCAAGAGCAAGGGCAAAGCAAAGAAAAAAGAATCCAGTTGTGATGAAGAAGCAAGTGACTTTGATGATGAGGCTATGGCTCTCTTTGTGCGCAAGATGGGCAAGTTCATAAAGGACTATGGTGCAAGAAAGAGAAGAGATCACAACAAGGAGTACATGAGGAGATGCTACAAGTGTAAGAGCCTGAATAACATTGTAGCGGATTGTCCCTACAATAGTGATAATGATGAGGATGAGAAGAAGAAGCATAAGAAGGAGAAGAAGGAGAAGAAAATGACTTTCACAAAGAAGAAGAAGGGGAAGTGGCTATGTAGTCACTTGGGATAGTGATGGCACCTCCGATGATGATGATGGCTCTAGTGATGATGACAAGAAATCTATTAAGAAGGCACTAGCAAGCATTGCCATCAACAACAAGCCTTCCTTCTTTGACACTCCTTCGACATGCCTTACGGCAAAACCCACTAAGGTAAAATATGATGAAAGTGATGATGAATGTGAAAGTGATGATTGTAGGAGTGATGATGATGATGAGGAATCCAAGGAGGAGCTCATGGACATGTTGGAGCAAACCCTCACATGTCTTGAAGTGAAGAGAAAGAAGTGCAAAGAATTGCAGAAAGAGCTCAAAGCTCTCAAGCAATCCTTTGATGAGCTCCAAGCCTCTCATGAGAGTCTAAAGGAAGACCATGAGGAGCTTGGCATTGCTCACTCTAAGCTTGAAGAAGCTCACTCCTCTCTCCTCAAGCAAGCCAAGGAGAAAGTCATCATGACATGTGACAAGGGCTCAACATATGATTTAATTAATGAATCTTTCTTTGAACCTATTGTTGTTGCTCCTACTAACCCTTCTTGTAGCACTTCTACTTCTACCTCATTTAGTAACGA